TTCTTTTGAACATGCAGGATATCGAATGTTTGTGGTCGAGCGAATGGTGGGTAATAAAGTGTAATGAGGTCATAATAAATATACATACATATACACACACATATGCATACATATAAATATGTGTGGTGCAGACAATAAGAGAAATTATTGAATTCTTTTTTTTTTCAAAAAAATTTCCGATAAAATATAGCTTTTTTCTGGGAAATATATAAGGTCTAGAAAAAAAATTTCTTCTGAGACCCATAGTGAAATTTGGTCTAGAATATTTGCTTCTTTGACAGCATCTTTGATATATGGATATTTTGACCAGAAATGATTTGAGTTCGAAGAAACTTAAAAAAAAAAATCTATATTTTCAAATTGGTGCTGATTTTTTAATAATATGTATTAGAGTTACAGATTTAATTTGTTCCGGAACCCATGATGAAAATCGATGTAGAATATTTCCTTCTTTGACAGTATCCCTGATATATAGATATTTTGACAAGAAATTATATGAATTTGAAAAAACTTAAAAAAATTGTTATTTTGAAATTGGTTCCAAATATAAAATTGGTCCCAAAATATAGCATATTTCTAGGAAAAACATGGGGCCTAGACAAAAATTTTCTTTTGAGACCCATGGTGAAATTTGATGAAGAATATTTCCTTCTTTGACAGCACCTCCCATACATGGATAGATTGACAAGAAACTTCAAAAAAAAAAAAAAAAAAAATAAATAAAAAAAATAAAAAATAAAATAAATAAAAAATAAATGTTTTTTGGTATTTTCAAAATTGAGCGGATTTTTTAATAATATATATTAGAGTTACAGATTTCATTTGTTCCAGGACCCATAGTAAAATTTAGTCTAGAATATTTGCTTCTTTGACAGCATCCGTGATATATGGATACTTTGCCAAGAAATAACAAGGAATTCGAAAAAAATGCAACATTAACGAAAAATGCAAAATTTTCGATATTTTCAAATTGGTGCTGATTTTTTAATAATATGTATTAGAGTTACAGATTTCATTTGTTTGGAGACCCATGGTGAAATTTGGTCTACAATATTTCCTTCTTCGACAGTATCACTGATATATGGATATTTTGCCAAGAAATAACAAGGAATTCGAAAAAATGCAACATTAATGAAAAATGACTATTCTATATTATATATTCAATTTGGTGCTGACTTTTTCATAATACGTATTAAAGTTACAGATTTCATTTGTTCCGGCACCTATGGTAAAATTTGGTGTAGAATATTTCCTCCTTTGACACCATTCTCCTTAGGTCGATATTTGTGCCAAAAATAACAAAAAATTGCAAAATTTAAGAAAAATGAGAATTTTTTGAAACATTAAAATTGGTGCCGATTTTTAGGGAGATACAATGAGTTTACTAATTTTATTTATTCTGGGACTCATAGTAGAATTCGACGTAGAATGAATTTCCCCTTGACTACATTTTCATATAATGAAGTTGAGGGGTAGATATTGGCTAAAACCAGCAATGTGTGAAATTAACGCCAAGTAGTACCCGGTATCTACAAATTAATGTTCAAATTTTCGAAAACATACATCCGTCCTACAAATACAAATTATTTGAAGACCCATGGTGAAATTTGGTGTAGAATATTTCCTCCTTTGACACCACCCCGCTTAGTTCGATATTTGTGCCAAAATTTATACAAAATTCCAAGAAATGGCAAAATTAAAGAAAAATGAAAATTTTTCGATATAATGACTGATTTTTAAGAGAGATATAGTAAATTCACAGATTCCATTTGTTCTGGGACCCATAGTGGAATTCGACGAAGAATCATTTTCTCTTTGACTGCATTTTCATAAAATGAAGTTGGAGGGCAGATATTGACTTAGATATGCAATAAAAAAACAACACTGAAGAAAGTGGTAAGAGAAATATAAAAAATCATATACACATTTTCTTAAAATACATCCATCCTCCATAAACGAATTATTTGGAGACCCTGGGCGAAATTCGATGCGGAATATTCCCTCCTTTGACACCATCGACCCTGCCAGAAATATGCAGAAGGATATGCAAAATTAACAAAAAAGTGAAATTTTTGGATATATTCAAATCGTCATGCAAGTCTTAATGATATACATAAAGTTTACAGTTTTCGTTTTTCTGGAACCCATAGTGAAATTTTACTTAGAATATATTTGTCTTTGGTGCCATGCTCATTAAATTGAGTTATATTACAATTAGCACTTACAAAATCATCATATATCTAATTGACTTCTTATGATTTCTTTAAATCTGCGATATTTATTCTTTTGGTACCAACTTACTTTTGTGTGGTTATTTGAGGGATAATCTGCGATGTAGAATATAGTTGCCTTTAATACCAAACTTATAAAAAAAAGTTTTGATAGAGATTAAAACCCGAATTCGCAAGGCATAAAATTAGCACCATAAAAAGAGTAGAGTAGACATCAATTCTTATCTATATACCAAAATTTCATAGTGAAATTATCTTAAATTTTATATTTTGATCCGCAATTGATCTCTCATTGACACCAATTTTCCAAAGTGGAAATTCGCGGGTAAACTGTATTGGAATGAAAAATAAACATCAACTTAAAATATATTTTTTGGCTATTGGGTCGATGAGCCTAATTCATAAGCCAGAAAAATCCGGTAAATAATAGTTACATTATCAATCATAAAAAATCTACGGAAGAACAGAGCCAAACCGTCTTAGAATTTAACGCTGATCAAGAATATATATACTTCGTTATGTCTGAAATTATTACTTCGATGAGTTACAAACGGAATGACGAACTTAATATTCCCATCATACTATGTATGGTAAAGGGTATACAAATATATCTATAGTATACTTTTAGGCGATGTTAAAATAATAGATGTTTTTATTTTCGATTTTTTTCGTTGCAAGAAATTTATACATTTTGATCATGATTATGTTTGACTCGTACAAATATTGTTTTTATCTTCAGAAAATGGCTATATTTTTTCTTTATGGTAGTAAAAGAAATGTTATATTTTCATAGCATACTCTTAGGCGGCGTTAGAATTATATACGTTTGTTATATAAATAATATATTAAATATTAACCAATTAAGTTTTTATTAACAAACAACCTATTTTTGTTTTCCCAGAAAAGTTTTAAATTGTTCCAGAATAAAATTGGGATATATTTAAAGCATATGTTAAGGCGTTAGTGTACGTTTAGGTCGCGTTAGAATTATGTACATATGACATATCATTAATATCCCAACTATTAAACAAACTATAAATATTGTTGTGCAGTTGTTAGAAAAATGGTAATGTTTTTTTATGGAGCAAAAAATGTCATATTTTCGAAGTATACTTTAAGGTGGCGTTAGAATTATATAAATTTGATATATCATCAGTACCTTAACAATTAACAACTGAAATGTTTTTATGGACAAACATCCTATTTTGCTATCCCAAAAAAAAATTTGGAATGTTCCAGCATAAAATTGGTCAATTTAAAGCATATGTTAAGGGGCTAATATACTTTTAGGAGGAGTTAGAATTTTGACATATCATCAATACCACAACTATTAAAAAATTAAATATTTTTTTGAACAAACAACCTATTTTGTTATACCAGGAAAGTTTTAGAGTGTTCCAGAACAAAATTGCTATGTTTAAAGCATATGTTAAGAGGCTAGAATATTTTGAGGTTTTTAATACCTCAACTATTAACAAGCTACCAATATTGTTTTAGTGCAGTTCTTAGAAAATGGTAAAAATATCATACTTTCATAGTATACCTTTAGGGGCCATTGGAATTATATAATTTTGGCATAGCATTAATAACTCAACTATAAACAAATTAATTTTCTTATCAAAATCTAATTTCTTTATCCCCGGAAAGTTTTAGTGTTATGGAATAAAATTGCTAAATTTAAAGCATATGTTGGGGCGTTAATACACTTTTCGACCGCGTTAGAATTATACAAAATTGGCTTATCATTATTTATATGCAGTAATGTTTTAATGCAGTTCTTAGAAAAATGTTTTTCCTTAAGGTAGTAAAAAAATGTCATACTTTCATAGTCTACTTTTAGGCGCCATTAGAATTATATAAGTTTGACATATGATCAATACCTCGAATTAATAACAAATTAAGTTTTTTTTTTTAAAAAACTTCCTATTTTGTTAACCCAGCAAATATTGTAGAATATTCCCGAACAAAATTGCAATATTTAAAGCATATGTTAAGGGGCCAATATACTTTTAGGAGGCTTTAGAATTATATAAGTTTGGCATATCATTAATACCTCACCTATTAACAAATTAAATTTATTTAAAGCATATGTTAAGGGGCTAATATACTTTCAGACGCCATTAGAATTATATAAGATTGGCATATGATTAATACCTCGAATTACTAACAAATTAAGTTTTTTTTTTTTTTTTATTAAAAAACCTCCTATTTTGTTATCCCAAAAAAATTTTAGAATATTCCCGAAGAAAATTGCAATATTTAAAGCATATGTTAGGGGGCTAATATACTTTTAGGAGGCTTTAGAATTATGTACGTTTGGCATATCAATGATATCTCAAGTTCCCTATTAACTAACGACCTATTTTGTTATCCCAAAAAAATTTTAGAATTTTCTCGAACAAAATTGCTAAATTTGAAGCATACTTATAGGCGTTCATTTTGATATTCCTTCCTTTTTTATAAGTTTTGCATGTCAACGATATCTCAAGTTCCCTATTAAAAAACAACCTATTTTGTTATCCCAGGAAAGTTGTAGAATATTCCCGAACAAAATTGCGATATTTAAAGCATATGTTGAGGGGTTAATTGTGATTCCTTCCTTTTTTCGAAAAAATAATGGTTCTTGCTTGCTTTTTTCATTTAATTATTTACACAAAAAAAGACGTTGTTGTAAATCTGTAATTACAAATTTCAGCTCACCATATGGATGGTGATGGAGAGCTTAAAAAATAAAGGAGATAGATAAATTGTTGCAAAACAAATGCTTACCAGCTGGGAGTATGGGTGCCCGGCATGTATGGCAGAAGCACTGCATAACAGAGTCGCGTACTAATCCAATCAACATGATGACTAAGGATTTCTTTTTTTACTGCTTCACGGGGAGAGAACGAACGAACGCACGCACACAGACAGATAGCTAGGCAGCTAGATTGGTATTTGGAGGATATTGAACGTGATTTACGGGAATCTCACTGCTGGACCAAAAAATGCCAAAGGGGAGATTTGTTGCCACTGATGATGGTTAAATCACACGTTTTTCCAAAGGGAGGGCGGCGGCGAACACTTGTTTGTTATTGTTGTTGTATTGAGATATATTTTTAAACCACAAGTTGCTGTTGTTGACCGAGTGAGAGAGAGAAAGGCAGCCGAAGGGAGATTAAGCAGGAAACGTTACGCTTTGATATATTTTATGATGCAGCTTTAGCCAGGTGTTGTTGGAGGATATATTTTATTTTTGTTTGTTTTTTTTTTTTCTTTTTTTGGTTTGAGTTTCAGAAGATATGCTCGAGGTTTTCTTTTTGTTTAAATTTAGCGCTTGATTTATTTGTGGCTATAAAATTACCAAAGAGGGCGGTGTCTGGCAAATTTTTACACTTGAATTTGTTTTTTTTTTTTTTATTTTTTGGTTTCTCAAAAATTTGTTTCTTTTGCTACAATTATTGTAAACTTTTTGGATGGTTTCTGTGCTACTAGACTCTAGATTTCTATCGCGTAGAAAAAACTGTAAAGAGAGGCAAATATTAAACAGTCCATATTTTTTTGGAGCGGCAGAAGTTTTGATTTTTTTTCTGAAATTTTATTTTTTGAGATTTTAATTTTTAAAATTTTTTGGTTTTTTTTTCTTCACTACAACACACAGACACAAACGAAACGGCGGCACACGTTGCTCGTTGCTGTTGAATCACGTTTTGCGGATTTATGCGTAGTTGTCGCAATGACAGTTCGCTATGGCGTTCAAAAATCTAACTAAAGTGAAGTTGGCTGTAGTTCCTTTTTTTCCGCACACAGCAACTCTATTACACTAAGGCATGCACACACTCTCGCTAACTCATACAACATTCTCTCACACACACACATACAGACTCAAAAACACACATACAAATTGTCATCCAGCAATGTGTATGTGTGTGTCTTTTGTATTAACGGTAATTTTGGTCTCAATAATTTAATAAAGAGAGAGAACGAGTTCTAGCCATCTATTGTGAGCCGTTATATGATGGAGAGGCCGAGAGAGAGAGAGAACAAGAGAGTGTACCACACCAAACACATATATGGTAAACTTAAACGTCAAAATATTTTTTTTTCTTCTTAAATTGAACCTTTTTCTTTCTTTCCTTCCTTACTTCCTTAATTTTGCGAAGAGAAAAAACTATATAAATAACGGTATAAACGCAACGAACGCTGAAGACAAACTGAATTGGATGGCGTTCGTGGATTCAGAGTACAGCCGTGGTTGTAGGGTGAATATGGTCAAAAAGAAGAAAAATGGCAAACAATGCGCAAGGACACTTTGCGGTGGAAATTTTGAAGGAGAGAGAGAAAACGAGCAACACACACAGGAGAACAGTTCTCAAAAAGGAAGACATAATTTTTAAATAAATTATAAAGAACCGGTAAAATACAAAAAAAAAAAAAAACAAAAAATATATATTTCAATTTTATTTTTACAAAATTTTAAAATTTTATTTTTCAGAGACTTCGGAAAATCGAAAATTTAAAAAAAATATTTTTTTAAATATTTATTAGTCAATTTATTTCCTCTCGCAAAATTGTCTCTTTGGGCATGCGCCAAAACTGGTAATCTCACTCCCTTGTACGAAATGAGCAAGCGATGATGGAACGGCAAAAAAGCGGTAATCAAAGCAAATGAACCCCAAGAACAGACACCCCCAAAATCCAAAAACAAAGGACAGTGGTAAGGAAGGGCCCAAATCCAAGCCGTGAATTTTTTCATTTTTTTTTCAAGGACTATCTAGGTTTGCATTAAAAAAAATATATATATATTTTTTAAAGACTATCATTAAAACGTGAATTTTTAATAAATATTTTTTTCAATGATAAAACAAGGCGTGGATTGATTAATAAATATTTTTTCAAGGACTATCTAGGCGTGTATTTTAGCAACTATTTTTTAAAAGGCCAACATTAAGGTTGGCAATTTTTAATAATATTTTTTTAAGGAAAAACCAAGGCGCGGATTTTTGATTTATTGCGTGGATTTTTTAATAAATATTTTTAAGGACCCTTTCGGCGTAGATTTTTTAATAAATATTTTTAAGGACCCCTTCGGCGTAGATTTTTAATAAATATTTTTAAGGACCCCTTCCCCCCCTTAGAGGACTGTATAGGCGTGGATTTTTTTTTAACAAATATTTTTAGAGGGCTATATGGGCGTGGATTTTTTAAAAATATTTTTAGAGGGCTATATGGGCGTGGATTTTTTAACAAATATTGTTAGAGAACTATTAAATATTTTTAGAGGACTAAATGGGCGTGAATTTTTTTAACAAATATTTTTAGAGACCCAGTAAACAATTTTTTCCGACTGCTCTGATTTTAGATTTTTTTCCGAAATTTCTGACGTTTTTTTCAGAAATTTCTGATAGAAATTGGTCCGATTTTCTAAACGTTTTTTTTTAGAATTTCTGCACATTTTCCTGTGTTTTTAAGCGAAAAAAACTCGAAAAATGTACAAACGGAGAGAGTAGATTGTCTATTGCTCTGGCATATTCTCTCCCACATGTAAACGGATGGTGGTGGTTTGACACATTCTCTCCCATAGTAGTTGTTGTTGTGATCATTCATTTCAAGATCTCAACAACAACAAAGCGCAAAGCAAAAATGCTATTTGTTATTGTTATTGTGAACTGTTAGATTTTCGGTTGTAAAAATGTGCGTTTTGTTGTTGTTGTGAATCAGCCTCTTTCTCTTTCGTTCCCAAAAAAATATGATGGAAAAAAATTGCAAAAACAACTACATACCGGTTTTCTGTGTGCACTGCTTTTTATTTTTAGTTCTTGCTACTGTATGTTATGTTCCTAATAAAAATAATATTTATAATGTAAATGTATTATAGATGTAATATTTAAACTACATTTTTACGAAACCCGAAATAAATTGTTTGTTTTTTAAATAAATATGTGTCTTTTTTTTTTCATTTTTAAGTGGAGTGACGATTTTTTCGATATTTCTTCCGAATTCTGAACGATTTCTTTCAGAAAATCGGAACTTTCTCCCGAATTCTGACCGATTTCTTTCAGAAAATCTGAATATTCCGCCGAATTTCCAGACGAATTCTGCCCGATTTCTTTCAGAAATTCGGAGTTGTCCTCCGAATCTTTTCCGAAAATCTAATTTTTTCTCCTATTTTTTCAAGAATTTTAACCGAATTCGGACCGAATTCGTCCAGAAAATCTAATATTTTTTCAGATTTTTTTCAGAAAATCTTTCCGAATTCGGTGACCACGTCCATACAACTTTCGTACCGAAATCGGAAGGAATTCGGAATCAGAATCGGACATTTTTTCAGAGATTCTGACAGAAATCGGACCGAATTCGGCAAAAATTGTTTACTGGGGAAATATTAAATACAACTATTAAATATTTTTAGAGGACTATATGGACGTGGATTTTTTTAACAAATATTTTAGAGGACTATAAGGCGTGGATTTTTTTAACAAATATTTTTAGAGGACTATATAGGTGTGGATTTTTTTGACAAATATTTTTAGAGGACTACTTGGGCGTGTATTTTTTTAAAAAATATTTTTAGAGAATTCTATAGGCGTGGATTTTTAAAAAAAAAATATTTTTAGAGGACTATACAGGCGTGGATTTTTTAAAAAAATATTTTTAAAGGACTATATGGGCGTGGATTTTTAAAAAAAATATTTTTAGAGGACTATATGGGCGTGGATTTTTTTAAAAAAAATATTTTTAGAGGACTATATTGGCGTGGAGTTTTTTAACAAATATTTTTAGAGGTCTATATGGGCGTGGAGTTTTTAAAAAAATATTTTTAGAGAACTATAAGGCGTGGATTTTCTTAAAAAATATTTTTAGAGGACTATAAGGCGTGGACTTTTTTAACAAATATTTTTAGAGGACTATAAGGCGTGGATTTTTTTAACAAATATTTTTAGAGGACTATAAGGCGTGAATTTTTTTTTTTTTAACAAATATTTTTAGAGGACTATAAGGCGTGATTTTTTTTTTTAACAAATATTTTTAGAGGACTATATAGGCGTGGATTTTTTTAACAAATATTTTTAGAGGACTATATGGGCGTGGATTTTTTAAAAAAAAAATATTTTTAGAGGACTATATTGGCGTGGATTTTTTTAACAAATATTTTTAGAGGACTATATGGACGTGGATTTTTTTAACTAATATTTTTAGAGGTCTATATAGGCGTGGATTTTTTAAAAAATATATATTTAGAGGACTATTTGGGCGTGGATTTAAAAAAAAATACTTTTAGAGGACTATATGGGCGTTGATTTTTTAAAAAATATATATTTAGAGGACTATTTGGGCGTGGATTTAAAAAAAAAGTACTTTTAGAGGACTATATAGGCGTGGATTTTAAAAAAAAAAATATTTTTAGAGAATTATATAGGCGTGGATTTTTTTAAAAAATATTTTTAGAGGACTATATGGGCGTGGATTTTTTTAACAAATATTTTTAGAAAACTATTAAATAGAACTATTAAATATTTTTAGAGGACTAAATGGGCGTGAATTTTTTTAACAAATATATTTAGAGAAATATTAAATACCACTATTAAATATTTTTAGAGGACTATAAGGGCGTGGATTTTTTTTAACACATATTTTTAGAGGACTATATAAAATCCACACCTATATAGTGGATTTTTTTGACAAATATTTTTAGAGGACTACATGGGCGTGTATTTTTTTAAAAAATATTTTTAGAGAATTCTATAGGCGTGGATTTTTTAAAAAAAATATTTTTAGAGAATTATATAGGCGTGGATTTTTTTAAAAAAATATTTTTAGAGGACTATATGGGCGTGGATTTTTTAAAAAAAATATTTTTAAAGGACTATATGGGCGTGGATTTTTAAAAAAATATTTTTAGAGGACTATATGGGCGTGGATTTTTTAAAAAAAATATTTTTAGAGGACTATATGGGCGTGGATATTTTAACAAATATTTTTAGAGGACTATATGGGCGTGGATTTTTTTAACAAATATTTTTAGAGGTCTATATAGGCGTGGATTTTTTTTAACAAATATTTTTAGAGGTCTATATAGGCTTGGGTTTTTTTTAACAAATATTTTTAGAGGTCTATATAGGCGTGGATTTAAAAAAAAAATTAGGAGTAATAAATGGGCGTGGATTTTTTCTAAAAAAAATATTTTTAGAGGACTATATGGGCGTGGATATTTTAAAAAAAAATTTAAGAGGAATATATGGGCGAGGATTTTTTAAAAAAAATGTAAGAGGAATATATGGGCGAGGATTTTTTAAAAAAAATGTAAGAGGAATATATGGGCGTGGATATTTAAAAAAAAAATATATATATAACCTAAACCTAATCTAAAATGGAAGTGGACCCAATAGTCAATCCATTTTATAAAAGAGTCAAGTAATTGACTGACTGACTAATTCATCAACGCCCAGACGAAACGGCTAGAATCATGAAATGAATCATGCATGAGGTTCCCTCTTGATGTGTCAGATAAGGCAGGGTTTTCGTAATAGAATGGTACGAAAAGTATTAAAATGTACTAAATATGGTACCCTTTGTATTTGAGGGAGCAGTAAAGCCAGAACTTTGGAATGAGGGTCACGGATGGCGTATATGATAGATGTACCAAAGGGTTCTTGGATATTCACACTATAAGTTCTAAAATATACTACATTCGGTAACATTTTCGTATCATGTGAACAGTTATAGCTAAAAACTTCAAATTCAAAATGGGAATCAAGGTTGAGGAGTAGGGTCGATGTAATGAGGTAAATTTGGAAGTGTGTACTCATGTATAGGGAAAGTACTAAACGTTACTGGATTTAGTACAATTTGGATTTGGA